TAGGTAGATCACAATCCGCTAGGGGCGCTACAGTCGTAACTGTCCACGGGCAGTGAAGTGTTAAACTGAAGTCGGCCTGCTGACAGTTCGCCTATGGAACCCCTTTTTTAAATCTCTCTTTTAGCGCTGCGTAAAAAAACTAATACAAGCCATTAACTAAATAAGTTGTAAATCAAAGAGTAAAATCCGGTCACATGATTTTCCCATGTTGCAGTCTTTGACAAGTTTCGGTTCTGCTTGTTTTAAGTTTTGCCTCTACAAAATGCTAAAAAATTTCAGGTAAGTGCTGGTATCATCTTTTTGAAATTTATATCCAGCAAAGTTTATGAAATTTGCTATATTATGTAGAAAAATCATGAAATTTGAAGGTTGCGAAGTATAGTTAATTTAATCCGCAATATTACATGATGTGAAAATTACCACAGGGAAATAGCTCTGCCCTGATTAGTCACAGGCTATGTGAGCCAGACAATAGGCTGAGCACACAAAGACACACAGGGTGCTCTGCTGCGCCTGAGTGAACATTGCTGGTCAGTGGGCACAGGTTTTGAGCTGAGAAGTGTGGACACTTTTGGTGGATTTTTGCAGTTAAAAAACTTCAATATCTTTGTTGCTTGTAGGAATATTTAAAAAATTCCAAATGATTTCATCCGGTTTTTGCATTACCTTTCAGATGATATAAGTATTTTAATTTTCTGATCAGTTTGAAAATTTTTCTGATATACCTATCGACAGAGTTGAGAGCAAAGTCGCATTAATCTGGTTCACACAAAACTGTTTTCTTTACATAACACCAGTTCAATATCGCTGCATAACCTTCAACTAATCAATTTTCACGTGTCCAATGTTCATAAATAATTCTGGTTTTTCGGTCAACCTTATTGACAAATCTCAATGTCTTGTATCATGCTTTGCCTTTATGAAGACTAAGGTTTGGAACAAGCGGTACTAATAACAACAGTATAAGAACCATGAAGAGAATCTGGGCTTAAGTTTTTTATTTTTTAAAAGAAAAATAAATAAAGATTAATAAGACTCCATACATTTATTGAAAAATCTGACAGATAGACTGTGCTTAATCAATATCAAAGAGATACTCACGTTTGTTTTCCTTCCCATCGCCATCTTGACGTTTTTAGTATCGTAGAATCTCGCGTTGAAGAGAAGTAAAATGATAATCTCAATTTGGATTCAATCTACTATGTTCAATATACCACCATCTCCAATGTCAAAACTAAATCCTATTCGCGAATTTTATACCAGGCTTTACGCATATCGAAGTGTTTTAAAGAAAATTAAAAATGGTAAAGGTGAAGGTGTATTGAGCACAGGACTCAAACTACTGCGCATGCGCGAAAAGTACTTTCTCTCATTCTCTGGTTTGAAATAAACAAATAGTGAAATTGATAAAACCTGCCGGTGTTTACCGTCCTGTTGATTTGATTTAACTCGCTTTGTGGTGTTGTTTTGAGAAATTATCTTGGAAATATTCTGTTGATTGTATGCATTAAAAAGCAAATCCATCGGTTTCCCTTACATTAACATTTAATTATTTTGTCTTTATTGTAAGGGGGGGGGGGGGGGTCCCTTCGCATTTATAGTGTGTGTGTGTGTGTGTGTGTGTGTGTGTGTGGCCCTAAGGGGATTTTGGAACCACCCCTCCCCCACTCTTGATTAATAAAACTGAAAATTATACTGCAAAATACATTAAAGGTACATACGAACCGAGCATTGGTGAAGCGTGGATTCCCAGTAAAACATGTAAACCACTTCTACTAGTTTCTTATACGACTCAAATAAATTCAACATGCCAAGGGATAAACTGAATAGATCACTCAATCACCCATAAAATAGCTTAAGACTGCTCCTTTTTAAAAATTTTTGGTCGTAACATACAGCATAGAATGCTAGCAGAAAAATCCATTCAAACATCATTTTCGGGTAAAATTACCAAAAGTTAAAAATAACCATAAAACAGAGCAAAAAATCCTCGCCTTTTCTTTATTTTCCTCAAAAATCCGTAGCTGTTATAAAAAATCTTTATCTTCTTATGATTTTGGAGCGCCTGTTCTAATTTTTGAAAGTGAGGCAATAGAACCAAGCAATACGATACAATTTGCAATCTCATAAAAATTGGTATTTTTAATAGAGGTCATAGCCGGGCATACATCAAAAGGCGACTCGTTTATTATTGTGATATTAAATAATAATTAATATAAAAGATACGATATAATAGGTTCTTGTCTTCCGCCTATTTTTTAGCTTTATTGATCTTTTAAGTATTTGGATATTAAAAACACAAAAGCTGTATGGTTTCATATCGAGGAACCACGTTGTAGGGGGCCATGTTCCTCCCTACCCAGGTTCTTCTAATATTTCCCTTGTCACTGATGCATGGGAGAGGGAATATAACCACAAACTCACATCTTCAGTTCCAATTCTCAAGCCCCTTTATTAGGTCCAAACCTTCAGCATTTATTCACATTGCTTCAGTCTTGAATATTTATCATCCTCTGTAAAGGTATACCTGATAAGTAGAACTGATATAACTGATAAGTACTGTAGAAGCTCTCACTTGTTATCTGTTGCATTGCAATTAGTATTTAAATGAGTTGCTGCCACTGTGGCATGCAGATAGATTCCCTGTAGATAGTGTGTATAAGGCTTCATTCACATGCAATGTCTATTTTTTAAATTCTATTTTCTATTCGCGGTATGTCTTATGATCATGGTCTGTGCCCTGAATATCCCGCGGCGTAATTACTGGCAGCGCGAGCCAGTTACTATAAGTTACTATAGAAAATAGACATTGCATGTGAACGAAGCCTAAATGCTGAAGGTTTGGACCTAATTAAGGGGCTTGAGAAAATATGCTGACTGATTAGGTAAATATGATATGTAAATGAGTGAGGTTCTTACATGCCTTAAGTGGACCTTAACAACGTATTGTTCGTGTGCTGGTGAATTGCTGACGTCACGTGTGATATAGGGCCTTTATGAAATCAAGATTGAGTTGGCAATACCTAAATCTAGAACCTAAATCTATGGAAATAGTGCCATCATAAACTTGAAAAAATATTTTAAAAGAAGAAATATTACGATTACATTTAAGGATGTTTTAAAAACGTCTTCTGGAAACATAATTAACAGTCTAAAACATTTTCTGAAATGTAAATCCTAAACATTGTTTTAACAAGGTTAAAAACTGTACAAATTGTTTGCAAAATTAAGATAACTTTTATGAAAACATTCGAATGTCTGAAAAGAAATTTTGTTTTTGCTGATTTTGGCCACATTTATTCATGTTGTAACATGTGTCAAAAAGATTTTTGGTCTATCTTTGGTTTGGCCTTTGCCCTTGCTGTGATATCTGCTTCTGTTGAGAAGCTTTTTTAAAATATATATGACATTTCTCATTCATCATGTTTTGATATAGCAATGAGAAATATTACCTTAAAACAGAGTTTGATCTTTACAGTAAATTAACTATAGCTAAATGAGGGTACTGGTTTGTAAATACACTTTATATAAAAAAAATTCAAAGGTTGCTAACTTTTACCAAGATTGCTTGAAATCATATTTTGAAAACAGTACAGAGCAGTTTTAAGAATTTTTGTTTTTAATCCTTTCACTCGGAGCCTCCTTAGAGGTTAGTTCTTTGAATGGCAAAATATAACATCAAGAAAAAGCTTTTTTCTGAGGATTACTGGGAATCCACGCTCCACCGATGCTCGGTTCGTGTGTACCTTTAAATTACATTTAATTGCGACTTTGCCTGTATCAATAAATATTTCTTAACTTAAAAGCTCTACTTTTCAAATATATCCCTGAAGTTGGCATGGAAGTCAACTGAAAATTCTATAAAGATTTTCTTGAATATAAAAAATCTGTGGACTCGCAAGGCTACCCAGGTATGTTGGTTAATAGTTCTCTCTGTCTTAATTGTTTTAGGATCCGGTTGCTGTCTTACGTTTACCGCAGTAAACTACTTCGGCAAGGCAGGCCAAAATATTCTTTACATAAAGTAAAGAAAAATGCATAAGTAGTAGCTAAACACAATTATTTATACCTGACACTAACAGATAAACTTGAACCAAAGGACAAAATTTGAACAATGTAATCTAGGTTCTTATAACTGCTGAAGTAGGGCCTACTTGTTGTATCTTGAGAACAATAACCACGTAAGGTGTGAAATATATCTATATAGGGGGGTCGCTACGGTACAGTGCCTCCAAATTGCTTAATAGAACCTGAGAACAATGGCCAGGTATGCAGAATGACCAGTGCGACACGACGGATTATTCACGGACTGCTACCCCCGCGTTAATAATACGTCAGGACGGTTTATTCACGTGAGGCTTGTGATATTTGGTGACATCACCACCGTGGAAAGTGAATTTCGAAGGTGACCAGACAAAATCCTTTGAAGAAAACTTGTACTGCGCTCTCAACGTAGTAGGAACTTGACAGTCGCAATGGACGCCACAAGAGGAGTAGTAGTCGAGCAAGGTAAAAATACCTACAATTATTCAGTTTTAATAATTTCATTCCTTCAAAATTGTAATGTTATGCCAGGGGTATGAAATTCGTATGAATTTGAAGACGGACAGCAGGCCTGGCAACTTTTCAAAGCTGCCAGCCTTGACCAAAAGTAGCCAGTCCTAATTTTTTTGAAGATTACCTGATTAAACCAAATTGCAGGCAAGCACGATACGAAAACAAGGACTCTTAGTCTCAAAGTGAATTCATTCAAGTAGATTCTTCACTGTCAGCATCTGAAACGTTATGCTCTGAACCCAAATCGGAAAAGTCTGATTCACTGTGACTGTCATAATCAGAGTCTCGGTTGCATGACCCGCCTGTTACAAACGCTCCATAGGCATACTTATGAAATCTATCTGATTGTTTCCTAGAAAACAATGGTGCAAATAAACTTCGACAGGTCTTGCAAAAAAGTTTCTCGTTTTTACTGTCAGTCTCATCACAAAATAGTCAAGAAAATTCAGTATTCCATGATGGCAAAACTGACCTTTTCCTTTTGCAGGGCTAGACACTAACTTTTATGAGCACCTGTCCCATGTAATGTATTTATTACCAAGATATTCAGTCAAGTGACCCCGGAAAATACAGTGGATTTAATTTCAGATAAAAATGCGGTTTTTCATACTTGTGAACTCCTGAAGATGCATATAAGACTGATTTTACAGACTTAACATGGTTTCTATCAAGGCTTTTCCCAGGGTTTGGGGTACATGGTCCACTTTTTGTACATCTGCAATTTGATAACAGATTCACATGAAGTTTGACCAAGCCAAAAAAAAAAAAAGTCAGTGGAAGGTGGGAGATGGGGGGCAGTGATTTATTATTTTATTAAGATATTAAAATTTTATAATATTTGAATAAATTTCATTAAAAATTTAAGAATATTCATTGTATAATAGTTTACTGTTTACTTATATAAATATCACTAATATCAAAGTTTTTATGTACAGACATGTTATGCATGTTATGCAACACCGATAACACAATAAGCAAAAAACCCTTTTACCTTTTGGCTTAAAACTTCCAGAACTTATGAATATTCACAATACACAGTTTAAGTTCGAAAATCAGAATGATCGGATCACTTTTATAAGAATTATGCTGTTTTTCAATTTTTTCAGTATATATGTAAGATTGTCCTGGGGGGGGGGGGGGGGGAGGGGGGGGAGGTCTCCGGCCGTATACTGGGGATGGGGTGTTTTCACTTTAACTCAACTTTGACTTTACACAGATTTGTTTCTGCTACCTAGAATAAATGTACAGAGGAGCCAAGCTTAACTTCTACAAGGTGAATGATAACCTTCTTGCTCCAGAGCTAACCCTGTACTGACTTCTTCAGAGCACCCTTAACCTTAAATTCTCTTGGGAGGAGGGTGACTGACTGAGGACCTGCCTGGTTTCTATTGGCCAGGTTACCTGTCATCCAGCAGTATCTACAGGGTATCTATTTAATTTAGCAGAGAATATGTACAATTTATATGATAACGAAATACATGCAGGATATACACAATAAAATACAGACAAAGGCAGCTACATATAGTAATTTACAGTCTCCATAAAACAAAAAGTGCATTCCCAGAGATTTAGATCGATCCATCCGGATCGACCTAACTCCCTGGGGGTTCACGCTAAATTGCAGTCAGCCGAGCGCGCATGACAGTTAATTACCCCCTTACAGTTTTTAGTAGGCGGGATAGACGCTTAAGTCGGCTAAGCTGACAGTAATCTAGTGAGACTCCCCACAGGGATAGATCGATCTAAAATCTGTGGGAATGGGGTCAAAGGCAAGGTAGATACAAAGTGATTTACAAGGTCTCCATAAAACAATGATAAGGCATATACACAGTGATTTACATCTGACACTGGTTTCTTTAGATAAGATGGAGTCACAAGATATATACTGGCCATTGTCATAGTATAGGTTACGTATTTAATAAAAGCCTCACATTGTATCTCCCTTCCACATGAGCAAACCAATTAGAATTTGAACTGAATGTCCCACTGGCTGTAATGTAATGGGCTCTGCCTTTATAATGACCATTAAAGGGAGAAAAAAAACATGTCACCCTTTTTAAACTTAAAGGAAAGAAACATAGAACTAAAAAACAGCCTGAGTTGGAAAATCAGTCTAATTGGCTTCTTTTCTAGTTGTACATTTTTGTGAAAGTTTATCTTTCACATATTGGCATTTTCAATGTGGGACATAATTCCCATGGGTATGAAGTCTATAGTGGTAGTAAAATGTTCTTAATCTCCATGTCCATTAATAGTGAATAATTTAAAAAATGATGATATTTATACAGTTAATCATTATGTAATATTGCATCAAAATTGACAAAAACAAAATAAATAAAAAAATAAAAAACTATTTTGTGCACTGCCACAATAAACGTTATGAAAAGAAAACTGTGTTACACCAGCGTAGGCGCTGGCGGTACACATGGTTTTAGTCCCGTCCAGATCGTTCCGCCGGCTCCGCCAGCTCTGCCGCCATGTCGCCGTTACTGCTTCTCCTCCTAGACTACAAGGGCCTGCGTACCCATATCTTGGATTTAGGTCAACTGTAATCCCATCTCGCTCCACGTAAAATTTGGGCTTCGTCCTAGCTGGAGTCTAGGTGAAACACTCACTGCAATGCAGCCTTGTCCAAAATTGGCAAAATTAAATACTAATTATCTACCATACCGAAGGAGTTATGGAAAAAAATTCAATAGACGGCTACCCGCAAGTCATATGTGGAGATTTAAAATATGCCCTCGGATTTGATCTTTGGCCTTTATTTCCTTTGAAAAAAAAAAGGATTTTTCACGAAAAAAAAAAATATTTGCGCTATAATTCAGAAACTACACAGACCTTACCTATAATATCATTGGCAGTTGTTACGCATCAGGCCATCTATATCCCTGTGAGTTTATGGGTCAATGGTGCATTTCCACGGGAGCAGTGGCCATTAGATGCCGAAACAGAAAACTCTATCTAATTACGGAACCTTTAATGCTAGAGACACCTTTTTTGCACTCAATAGAGCATGTAAACCCCAACGCTATAGGTGGTCTCCGTTTTTTTATTTTTTGTTTTCCATACGGTTTTTGAGCGATGCTGTATCAAAAAGTACATTGTGCTATACGGTAATATGCTTAAAATTTTGAACGTCTGGAAAGGATAAAATAACATAAGGCTTGGCAAGGCAGACAACTTCTGGTCAAAACTTTGCAACATTTAAGTCCTTTATATCTCCAAAACTAGCAGAGAAAGGCCCATACAGTTCTTATTGAGGTTGAATACAAAGTTATATACTAGAAATCTGTGTTCTTAAAACTGACATTTGACCTACCTTTCACCATAAACTGAACATTGCAACTTTTTTTATCCCTTATATATGTATCTCCAAATCTGGAATGGAAACGCCCATAGTTACTATTGAACTTGAATAGGAAGTCGCATACTGGCAATCGAACTGTGACTTTAAAATTGACATTTGACCTAATTTTTACCATGAACTAAGCTTTGCAATTTTTTTCAGTGCTTATACCTTCAAAACCGACAAAGATATGCCCATACCTACTAATGAATTTGAAAAGGAAGACATATACTGACAATCTGTGTCGTAAGAATTGGCAACTTTTTGATGCTTATACCTTTAAAACTGGCATAGATATGGCAATAATTACTATTGAACTTGAACAGGAAGTCATATACTGACAATCTGTGACCTTAAAATTGACCTTTGACCTACTTTCACATGAACTGAACTTTGCAAGTTTTCCGTCCCTTGTGTCTCCAAAACTGGCAGAAACATANATTTCCCCAAAATGATAAAATATGGACATTAATTACCTAACAGATATGTATCGTGGGATAATAATACTAAAAAAACAGAATAACAACTGAATTCAGCTTCATTTTATTTGTAAGCCTATCTTAACTAAACCCCACCTTCTATGGCTAATGGCAGCCATTTTGTTTTGTTTTGTTTTCAAAAAGGATACACGTAACATTCTCATCACATATGTATTATGCTAATTAAAAAGATGTGGAAAATACTAACAAACAAACCTAATTTATCAATTAATATTATATCTCCATGGCAGAAGAAGCCCTATGTGTATACTAGTATTCCTTTGATATGTGGGCCATCTTGGATTTTTCTCGAAATGCCTGTGAATAAAGGTTAGTTACTCACCACAAATATATTATTTGTGTAATAAGAAACAAAATTAATTAGATAGTGGGCAATGCATCTTCCTAGTTGGCATTAGTTAGTTGAAAACCCTTGTACATGTTCTAGTATTCCTATGTCATACGGCGGCCATCTTGGATTTTTCAATAAGTCCAAGGACACTAATTTGTTATCTGACACATATGCATAATATGGGTAATAAGGATGTGGAAAACATTGAGAAAATACTTAATTTGATAAAAATCAACATGGATATGTATATATTTCTACAAAATTTCACAAATTGGCGGCCATTTTGGATTTTTTGGCCAAACGGTAAATTTTTTCCGTGGGCTACGGCTCTAATTTGATTTAGTATGTCAAAAGGTACCCACATGCAAAATTTGGTGCTTTTATCCGCTGTGTCACGATTTGGCCATTTTTTTTGCCCTAAGCAACCGGACTAGAAACTACACAGACCTTACCTATAATATCATTGGCAGTTGTTACGCATCAGGCCATCTATATCCCTGTGAGTTTATGGGTCAATGGTGCATTTCCACGGGAGCAGTGGCCATTAGATGCCGAAACAGAAAACTCTATCTAATTACGGAACCTTTAATGCTAGAGACACCTTTTTTGCACTTAATAGAGCATGTAAACCCCAACGCTATAGGTGGTCTCCGTTTTTTATTTTTTGTTTTCCATACGGTTTTTGAGTGATGCTGTATCAAAAAGTACATTGTGCTATACGGTAATATGCTTAAAAGTTTGAACGTCTGGAAAAAATATGATAAAATAACATAAGGCTTGGCAAGGCAGACAACTTCTGGTCAAAATTTTGCAACATTTAAGTCCTTTATATCTCCAAAACTAGCAGAGAAAGGCCCATACAGTTCTTATTGAGGTTGAATACAAAGTTATATACTAGAAATCTGTGTTCTTAAAACTGACATTTGACCTACCTTTCACCATAAACTGAACATTGCAACTTTTTTTATCCCTTATACATGTATCTCCAAATCTGGAATGGAAACGCCCATAGTTACTATTGAACTTGAATAGGAAGTCGCATACTGGCAATCGAACTGTGACTTTAAAATTGACATTTGACCTAATTTTTACCATGAACTAAGCTTTGCAATTTTTTTCAGTGCTTATACCTTCAAAACCTACAAAGATATGCCCATACCTACTAATGAATTTGAAAAGGAAGACATATACTGACAATCTGTGTCGTAAGAATTGGCAACTTTTTGATGCTTATACCTTTAAAACTGGCATAGATATGGCAATAATTACTATTGAACTTGAACAGGAAGTCATATACTGACAATCTGTGACCTTAAAATTGACCTTTGACCTACTTTCACATGAACTGAACTTTGCAAGTTTTCCGTCCCTTGTGTCTCCAAAACTGGCAGAAACATGCCCATAGTTACTATTGAACTTGAATAGGAAGTAATATGTTGACAATCTGTGACCTCATAGTTGACCTTTGGCCTACCTTTGAACCAAACTTTGGAACTTTGCATGTCTTATATTTCCAAAACTGACAGAGATATTCTCATAGTTACTTTAAAGTTGAATAGGAAGATATATACTGGCAATCTAACTGTGACCTTCAAATTGACCTTGACCTTCTTTTTGCCATGAATCGCACTTCACAAATTTCGATTTAAACTTTCTCTTCCACATGCTTTTGTTTTAAATTGTAATTTTCAATAAAAGTATTTAAAACTCTAGACTGCATTTTGTAGATCTTGTCAAGCCCAACACTAGAGGTGATGTCCTTTTTTGCTTTAACATTCAAATGCGCTTACTCTAGCTGGTGGTACAATACCCGGAGGTGATATTGCCTCTCTAATCCTCTAGTTGGCCATGAACTATCTGTTGTTCATGATTAAAATGCACTGTTGATTGACTGCATTATTTATTATTGCATCAAAATTGACAAAATGACCTATTTTCTGCATCTTTATTTTCTATTTTTTTTTTTTTTTGTCTGTACATTTGACAGCTTTGCTGCCTTGTTTTCTGCATACTTATGCAGCACTTATCTTTATTTATTTATCTATTCCTTATTCTGCCAGACTTGGGTTATGCCGTGGCCATATTTGAGTACGCTGCAACAGAAACCAATCAAATTTCCCTTACTGAAGGGGACAGGATCAAGATTGTCAGTAAGCAGGCAAAAAGCAGAGGCTGGTGGAAAGGTGAATTAAGAGGAAAGGTATGCTGGTTAAACTTCCCCTTTACCTGTTAAACTTTAAAATGTTTCTAGTGTGTGTGTGTGTTTGTGTGTGTGTGTGTGTGTGTGTGTGTGTAAAAAGGCGACTTAATTGGAAAGAAAAAGTTGTCACAAACAAATTTAAATTGTAACTCAGGTGATTATTTTTTCATTTAATAAGTGATTGGTGAAAAGATTTCATAACTTTGTTGTCTGACTTCAGACTGGGTACTTCCCGTGTGACTATGTAAAAGAGGAAAAAGGTGCGACTGATGGAAACAGTGCTTAGTTCACCGAGGTAGAATACTGTCAAAGCCCCAGCATCACAACAGCCAATCAGCAAAGAGAACATTTCACCTCATGCAGATCATGGAAATCATAGATGAGAAATTCAGTTTTCAATGTCAAGAGGTTTTCTTTTAATTGTCAAATCTCATTTGCAGCCAAAAAGCAGCTTGTATTCAAGCAAGTAAAAGATAAATATGTGTGATATATATTAATGTGATATTTCATATAATACAAACATTGATTAAAAAAACGAATAAGTTTTTCTAAATGAAAGTTTGAAGATCAGATTTTTTAACGAAAGTGCAAGTGCCCTAGAAATAATAAGTTGTTAAACCCAGAGTTGAGTACTTCTGAATGTATCTTAATGTGGTAATTTTTTTATTCATTTTATTTGGCACAGAAGAATGTGTGGTTGCCGTACAATTTTGTGTAGCTTTTCTATTGTAATGACTGGTCTACACCTCTAATTTATAATACACATACGTACACATATTCTAAATTGTATCTCTGGACTTACAATATTAAAACTTAGACAAAATCATATCTGGAAGTGTAACAATGGTCATTAGCTCTTTAATATGATGTTAACAGCCTCATGTTTTCCTGAGGCTTACAAAGGTACAAAAAAGTGATGTTCTTTCTTTTTCTTGCCGATTTCATGTGAATACTCTACCTTTTGCTGATGAATGTTGTGGTGTGTTTAAGAAGCGGAAGGAAAATGCAGAAAAAGAAATAATTCAACAAATGAGTTGCAGTTGGCATTTCTTGGTACATGGATGTTTTGTGCAAAATTTAGAACTGTATTAAAACGGTTCATAAGAAGCTTGCCCACGAAACATGGGAAATAATACTTAGATTTTAGCACAAGCATTCAAAACGTTTGGCTTGAACGGAAAAGTTCATAGTCACATTATAGTCACATTATCACTGTATTAAACTCTTCCACTATGAAAATTGCAAGAAAACGTTTGCGTGTGGCAATGACAATGAAAAGCACTTGAATTTGTAGTCAGAAAGACTTGAATTGGGATAAATTGGAGGAAAATTTCAATGAAAAACAAGAAAAAAACAACATTGAATTTAGTAATTATAATTTCCATTACAGTAATGATCGGGTTTATAGTGCAAATGTATTAGATGTTAACAAGTTTCTTCAAGGTGATTAAACATGCTATTTCTATGGTATCTTTACTGCCTGATTCGTTCATTTTGTGTTCTTCAGCTAACTTTGACAGTGTCTTCCCTGCCTAACTTTTAGTCATGATATTTACTTCCCTAACTTTAACATCTCCATTGCTTGGAAGGTTTTCATGTTTGTCTGGTGTACTTTGTGTTGACAACTGTGGACAACAATTTCCTAATGTAGACACACTAACATCAGTGTCACCATACCTAAGCATGCGTTTCCTTAAAATAAATATTGCTTTTGTTGCTTGATCAGCCAAATATTTTTGTGTTTTTGTCCAAAACACCTTTTGTTGTTAATGTTACATCCAGGTATTTATATTGTGATTTAGTTTCATTCTTTTCCCTGTATATTTCCACTTTTCATACTTTACTAAATATCCACCTTTTCTAAACACAAAGAATATTGTTTTCGACATATTAAGGGGTGGATGTACCCAAATACGCCAAAAAATCATCGTTTTGGTTTTTTTTATGTCTAATTATTGGTTAAATGTGTATCTCGCGTTTAACGGAATAACATTTTTACACTTTGAACAAAATAATGTTTTTTCTGAGGATTTTGATGCTGCACTCATCGGCACCGGTGGCTCGGTCTATGCCCCGCCTTCGTTGCCAAGGGCCGTTGGCATGCGTAAACTCGGTGGGAGGACCTTGGCAGCATCAGCACGACTCGCCATACAATAAAACAGGAACGTGTCATACTCCCTTTGTCATAAACAGCGATCGGCAAAGCTCCGCCTGTTGTTCCGCTTAAGCTATTTTGATAGTTGGTCTTGATTGTGATCAGCGCTAATACCCCCTTTACACTGGACGGCGTCCTTTCTGCGACCATGAAATTTGGCATCGCTGTGGTCTTAATAAGGAGGCACGAACATTGATTGTGTATCAGAATGAATGCTGAATGATCGGCCAGTTGTCGGCACGTAAAGTATTATAATTTTTTAACTCTCAAATGGGGCCGTACTGCTGGACGCAGAAAGGACGCCGCCCAGTGTAAAAGGACCTTAACGAGAATCTTTTCCGACACACTGGATTTTCTCGAAATACGCTTTTTCCCTTGAATTGCTTGTTGATATACATGTACTTTCGATTTTCTTCTTAACATTTTGAGATACGACAAAAAGATTCCGCTGCTTGCTACTTGTAACGGCAACCATCAAACTATAGATCAATCTTCTACAGCAGCTCTATACTGTCGTCAGATTTTGTAGATCTATGCAACTTGGGCCATCTGGCCTAGCATCGAAGCGCATGTTTATCAAATCTTTAACTTGACAACTAATGATTACGATGTGACAACTAATGATTACGATCATGTGACTATGGTGATAATTCTGTGCTTTGGACTTTTTCTGAGCGATATCGACATAAACATTTGGTCGAATACTGACTGGAATCATATACAAGATTGCTTTGCGTAAATAAAAGACTTGAGACCATATCCTAGCGTAACCTTTCGCCGGGTGGCGTAAAATTTCTGTACATGTGCCGCTAGACTCAGTTTTTCGCGCGAACAATAGTAAGCTGAGATCATGTAAGAGCTGTAGTATTTATGACATTTTGATTTTTCAGAATTATTCATTTCGGCTATGAGATATGAGCTGGAGAATAAGCCCTACAAGCATTTTCAACCTAAATGCTGGTATACTGCGTGGTACAGTTCTGGATGCATGTGTGCACTTTCAAGGCCGACATGGTGGTTTTTTCTTCAATAATTATCCCAATTTCTGACAAACACAACTTTACACATTTCCTCTAACAAGCCCTGCATGGTTGCATCTTTTTCTTTTTGATGGTCCAATCGGCGTCCTGTAACACAACCGTGTCTTCCGAACCATTTTTCGTTTGGCGAATGTGGACAAGAGCCGCCTGCGATGATGCTCTTGTGTGCACATCCTACAGCGCATCCCTAACACTTGCCCCGACGTCAATTCACGTGGCCTCTGATTGGTTGAGTCATTAGAGCTTACTTGATTGCCTGTCAATCATTCTGGCAGTGCTAGCGATAACCCCTTAACAGGGGTGAGATTGATACAAAAATAAGATTTTCTGACATCCAAATGCATCCAAACAAGCTAATTTCAACTGGCAATAAAGTACAGTAAAGCCGTCAACAATTTAATTTGTTATTTTGGACAATTAATCTCCCTCGTTTTCTTGGCTTTCAAGATTGACGAAATAGCGTCATCGGAACGAGCTATAACAGTCTACCTGTACACCTGAGGGACACCAAATGTACCATGCTAATTAAGAAAAGTATGAACTAAAAATGCTTTTAAAAAAATTTTAATTGATCCTCTCTTTTCCAATTTATTGACTTTGAAAGTGAAAATTCCTTAATATTTTGATGTAATTTCACTAGACTACACGTTATAAAATCAACAATAAGCCTCTAAAGATAAATCCCTGTGTTATTATACCATTAAAATCATGTTAAAAGCTGTCCAGGTGCCTGAGAAACCAGGTGTTTAAAATGGTGTTTTTGTCCCCAAAATCCCAATATAACGTCACACGACGAAGTTGGAGCTGTGTTTCAAGCATAATTCTAGATATTTTGAAGATACATTAAATGAATAGATATGACAAGAATAAAAAAAGCTAAGACCTTATTTTAAGAGAAAATCTCTAACCTACATTGCCCTATGGGACTTTACAGGGAAATCTCAACGTGTGTTTTATGTAATCTCATTTAAGGTAGATCGGTCGTTACATGTTCCAGCGTTCGAGTTTTTAAAAATTTTGTTTGAAGAGACACCCAAGTACATAAAAAATTTGCAAAAATTAATAAATATAAAAAAAAATTGGGGGGGGGGGTGTCACCGACCAAATAAGAACACAGGGCCCAAATATGTTACACCCTGCGTGACGCACTAGTACCCATTCAAATCAATGGGAAAATGTGTTTTTTCACTAAAACGTTTTTTGTTTTTTTTTAATGAATTTCTAACGTTTAAATTTTGAATTTTTATTTTTGGTTTGTGTGGAGAGCCACCCAAGTACATTAAGAACTTTCATTACGTTTAACAGTTGAGGTGAGTATACTAGCTATTTTCAGATTTGTCATACATGTACTGATGCGAAGGTGCAAGCCATTTAAAACTTTACAACAGATTTATTGAAGAGAGTAATAAGGGAAATACGTCAAACATGTGAAAATAGTTTATTGTCGTTGTAATTTATTTATGTAATGAATATGACATGAATGTGACATCGTAAACACTGTGATGTCAAGTAAAATGAAGCGTCTGATACAAAGTACCAAACGCGGCATTCACGTGCTTGCATGCGATGCGTACACTGTTTATTTTCTTTACATAATACAATTCCAATACCGCTGCGTAACCTTTCACTAAAATCAATGTTCACGTGTCCGAGGTACTTAAAAAATAATTCAGGAAAATCGACAGGTTTTTCGGTCAACCTTATTGGCAAATCTCAAAGTCTTGTATCACGCTTTGCCTTTATGAAGATTAATGGTTTGGAACAAGCGGTACTATTCAACGGTATAAGAACCATGAGGAAAACCTGTCCTTAATCTGTGGATTTTCTGAAAGAAAAATAAATAAAGATCTGTGCAATTTAATACATTTATTGAAAAATCTGACAAATAGACTGTGCTTGATCAATATCAAAGAGATACTCACGTTTGTTTCCCATTCCATCGCCATCTTGACGTTTTTAGTATCGTAGAATCTCGCCTTAAAGAGAAGTGAAATGTTAATCTCAATTTGGATTCATTTCTACATCTTCAATATACCACCATCTCCAATGTCAAAATTAATTCCTATTTGCGAATTCTAAACCAGGCTTTACACATATCTAAGTGTTTTAAAGAAAATCAAAATTAGTAAAGGTGTATTTTGCTTCCGGTTTTGAGGCTATATTTGGTGACATCACCACGTTGGAAAGTGAATTTCGAGGGTGACCAGACAAAATCCTTTGAAGAAAACTTGTACTGCGCTCTCAACTTAGAACCTTGACAGTCGCAATGGACTCCAAAACTACCGGAGAAGAAGTCAACCAAGGTAAAAAAGCGTACAATTATGCAGTTTTAATAATTTCATCACTTCAAAATTGTAATGTTATGCTTCTAAACAACGTCTTTACATTTCACTTCAGTCCCGAGTTGGGCCTGCTAAATATTGACAAGCCCGAGAAACAGACCGTGAAATATTGATGTGGCTTTCCCCACCTACATTCACTTTATTTCAGTGTCAACTCTGTTATAAGGATGTTCTGTCTATTGTTATTACGGTTTATATTTCTTTGGCAGCTGTGAGGTATTAGGTATACTGCAGCATGACTTTTAATTCAGTGACTCACAGCCCTTGTGTGCACACATTATAATTTACACAGTCATGGATGCTCTGTAGAAATGTCATTTTCATTCCTTCTCTGTCATGATTTTCGTATTGTCATAAGCATTCTGTTTTATGTGCTGTATATACCAGTAGCAGATGGAAACTACAACCCTGAGAAGCCCCAGTTTTCAGCTTAGTGAAGGTTCTTGTATTGTTTCAGTAGCCTTGACCCAGGTTGACCTAGTGTATATGTCAGCAAAGATGCAAATAAACAAAGTTGAGCTGCAGCTGTACCACCTAAACTTAAAGAGCTAAGATGTTTTAGTTTTGTTGGGGAAAAGGTACACTAAAAGGGATTTCGCTAGAGTAAACAACAGTTCCCCGACACTTTTCAATTTGTTAATGAATTTGTTCTGACATTCAGAGTTAATCAATTTTTTAAGTGTTTTTTTTTTGTAATAATCTCCTTAGAAATAATTAAAGATGGTACACATGTAGCCATCTATGAAGGTTCATGTGATCTGATGGCAGACATCAGAATAATTGTGATAACTGCCGACCTGATGGTAAAATGTTATTCATTGCAGCCACTGTGTTGATTACAATATATATTGTAGAATTTCAAATCTCATGAAGAATTGTTATCCTTGTAATGCATTCTATGCAGCATGAATAGAAATATTTTCAATTTTCGCAGGTCAT